ACAAATAATTGTGTCATCCCGTCATACTGATATAATTTGCTACCCACTCCCAACACTAATGTTATCATTTTAATATTAGCCATACTTACGATCCACCACCTTGATGATAACTTCACAGACCGCTAGTGTGGCTGTTTTTAATGTGTGTGCAGGTCATAACTGTTTAATACTTCGGAGCTTTCCTGTCTGCTTAAAATTCCTCCTAGAGAGTAGTTCAGTGTTTCTGTGTTAATTGTTTTTTTGTTTTTTTACAGAAGTGTTGTGTTAATGATCAAATTTATCTGAAAAACTGGAAACATTTCCAAACTGTAAGAAAATATATCAATTTAAAAACTCTGGTGAATCTAAGTGCATATCATATGTACTTTAGTACTATTAATATCAACAGTAGTAGGCCTCACTTGCTGCATTGCCCAGATTCTCCAATACATACTCCAGACTTCATACGTGGGAAACCAGCGTGCTGCCCCACCCGTCTAACATGATGTGACACGTGTGTTGGTAAATCTATTTCTCTACTTACATTTCATGTAATTCAACACTGGTATTAGCAGTTGTTAGCCTAATGAGGTGACTGTTCCTACCCTTAATTTTTCGAGTGGAGAGCAGTTTCATGCCTCATGAACTTTTGAACATCCCTGTGAAACGTCCAAGCGGAATCTGGATCTTTATGAAATCTTAATCGGCTGCGCTTTAAATAAACACTAACGTCGTACATACAGAGAGGAAGAACAAGGCGCTGTGCTGTCAGGCGGCAACAATGGAGCTCCTCGGAGAGCCTCGCGAGCCGCCCCTGACATTGATATAAATAGTGTAAGTGGCATCATTTGTTCTCCAGAACTGCTTCACATTCATTGACAACAACTTCAAAGATGCAGCTAATTGCATGTTAATGTTTTTACAACATGTTATATTTGTAAAAACCTGCTGCATTTAATATGTCATTATGAAATATAACATTTCAAATACACGGTTGTTGACTGGTAATAATAATAATTGTCCCGATAATTATTAATTAATAATCAACTCATGCTGTCCCCTAATCCTGCTGATGAATTTAATCTTCTCTGTTAGAGACGTATCTGCACTGATCATTTTCATCAATGATACGCTCTTTAAAAAAAAAACCATGATGCACAGACACCAATCATGTTATGTTACAGCAATCAATGACCTTGTTATCTAATACTTACAGTGAACCTCATTAGTCAAAGAGAAATCAATAGATGTAAGCTGCTCATATTGTATATCCTTTTTTTTTTGAGATGATCAGTCGAGGTGCTTCACTGTCATGTTTTCTTATTCCTTGAACTGTGATGGAGACTGATGGACAGATTTAGATCAGTAACATCTAAGCACCAGATGGTTGTTGCATGCACAAGTAAACGCACTACAAAATAATATTCAAATGCACCTAAATTACAGTTTTAATTTAGTAGATGTTATCTGTGTGGCGAGAATGTGTTTGTAGTCATTATCATTATCATCAGCGTAGATGAGGAAATGTAATCATTAACAACTAAAATCCTGAAAAGAAAGAAAAAAAAACACATCACTGAATATTATTACCAATGAATTAATTATTTCAAACTGTACTGCCATGCAGTTTCACATCTGCTGGGGAGGTGTCCACATGAAAAATTCCTGTACAGATTATCACCCACTTGAGTCGACTAATTGCTTGCAGCTGAATGTTCTAATTGAGCCACAACAGTCCTAAGGCTATTTTCATAAAATCATTGTGCTCATGAATATAATATGCTAGCTAGATATAAAAACAACTTGGAGTGCCAACAGGATCTATCAAACTCAGTGAAGCCTCAATCCAATTCTCCACACTTCGGGGCCACATCAATTTCGGATGTTTAAAAGTGAACACAGTTTTCCACACACGAGTACTAATGTGATTTCCCCCCACACACTTAAATTAGTAGACCAGAGTAATTATGGCAACAAATATTTTTGATTCTCGAATCCCTTTATTGATGTAGGCTGTACAGTAGGAAATACTATTTTCCTGTTTTTTTTCCACATACAGTGTGTGTGCAGGGGAGTGTTCAACAAAGGGACCGTTTTCAGCTGAGCTAGCCTTGGAGTTTAGACTCGGGGAGGAACCGAGGGCTCAGACCTCATGCCAATGAAACAAACACTGCATTCCAAACAGGCAAAACAATCACCACGTTCCTTTTTCCCCATTTGAAGATAATTATTTTTGGCAGCAGGGGCAATCTTTCATGACATTTGCTTCCTATTTCAGTCTATTGCTGTAAATAAACGGGCAGGAGAAAAAGAATGTGTAATTAGTCCCATATGCAGTCTTGGACATTTGTCAAGCTGTCCTTGAATCTATTTTCATGTCGGTGAACTCCTTTTGCTTTTTATGATACTGACTACATAAAAACTCCAATCCACGCTTTCCACTCGTATAAATAATGACTCACTCATCTGTTCTCACATTTCCATGGTGATCTCAAAAGAACTTTATGTGTTTTGTCAGACGTTGTTCTTGTAAAGTACCTGTTTTGTGGATTTTGAACTTGTGTCCCTCGCAGAGACCTCTTTTATGACAGTTCTCTCTCGCTCTCTTTGAACACTACAGCATCGACATCACGGTGCTAAAAACACATTTAAAACAACATCTGAAGTTCAGCCTCTGGCACTCTCAGGATGTGAGGGATGAACCCCAGTCCTACAGACATCAGTGTCTGAACTGGAGACACTGGTAGAGAGCGTTTTTGGGATTTGTTGTCAGCCTCCTGCTGGGTCGGTATTTGTGCTTCAGTTTACTGTTTACTGTTGTGTACGAGCGAGGCTGAGGCCAGCGTAATACATATGGCCACAAGCGGAGAGAAGGCAGCCTGCAGCCTTTCAGGACAGACAATGTGAGTCAGCTATCTGACTTCATCAAATAGGACTTGACAATAACCCCCCTGAATACAAGGGCTCTACTTTTTTATTTCATTATTTTTTTTATTTCCCAAGGCGGCGTGCCAGAGTTGCTGACGCTCTCATACCGTCCAATATCTCTCTCTGTGGCAGTCATATGTCATTCCATCCTGTGCACTTTGGCTCCGATGGCATCCCTGTGTGACAACTGGTCTCGTGTATTAGGTCTCATGTATGCAGCGTTCCTGCTTGAGCCAAGTTTGCAAGTGTGTGTGCGCGTCAGCGAACGTGTCGATAGCTTTGCATCTAATGACAGCTACAGAGATGGTTTCAAGCTTGCATTGTGGTGTTCATTTATTCAACTGTCCATTAGCAACCTTTGTTTCCATGAGAGCGTTGTGAAGGAAACTGAACATTTTTCTATAAATGCAAATAATAACTAAATGAAAATGTGCAAGGCTCACAAAAACATGCTTATTTTTTCAATGTAAAGTTGTATTCATTTGCTTACAGTCTGTGATGAGTAGTATCATCTCATTTTATCTGACTTCTTGGACAGAAATACATTTATGAGCTAAATTCCTTGAGAAATGTCCTTTTATCCCTGGTGACATAACGCGGTCAGAGTTACGTAATAATAAGATGAACTGGAATTACTGACTTGGTCTGCAGTGTTAGCATTGTGACACTGCAAATAATGAATAATCTGCAAAATTGGAATTAAATCTTTTTAGTGTTTGTTGTCTCATAAAAGCCTAAAATTCAGATTGGACTAAAGGCTGAAGTCAGACTGGTAATGAACTCGTCTCACTGTATTGTTGGTGTGTTAGTGTTTGTTATAGCACCTCAGCAAACCTGCAATATGAAAAAAGTGCATATCATTAAAATGCATATGTTATGTGTTTCACGTTGACTTTTTAAAGCCCCGGCTCAAAACAGCTTTGGTGCGTGTTGCCTTTCGTTTCCTTAGAAACATTAACGACTGCCCTCAGATGTTCTCGTGTTCTTCTAGTATTGCAGATAAATGAACAGGAGTGGAGAAACTTCTCTCCCTCATACCACAGCGCTGTTGTTCTTGGAACTGCAAAATAGTTAACACATGACTTTATGCCATTAGACTTTGGCAGTTGGTGGTGAATTGACAAATGCAAAACTTAGTGAGTTGAGTTGTATATTTCATCTTAAAAGTGTCAACCCCAAATTTTGTGGTCTGAATGGAAAACTCAATTCAGATACATGTGCAATAGGGTCAGCTGCAGAAAAATAACTGTATCCATGCACTTTTCATTGAGTGCATTTATTCAATTCTGACACAATTTTTTGGTGCCAATCTAAAGCAATACTGGGTGCCAAAGTTAACACTATCAACCAGAGTGCGAATATCAGCTATGGAGCATCTTTGAATCGTGCTAACAGCCTGCTCTTAAACTTACCAGAAGGAATTTACACATGAGATCAGTATGATTTAGGAAGTTTAGGAAATTCAGACAGTAGAAGTAGAACATTTAGAAAAGTAATACACATTATACTGTAGAAATACTCTTCATCATAATCAATATTTATCATGTACATTTTTTTCATTTTTATTTATTTTTAAATATTTATTTATTTTATCACATAAATGCAGATATTAAATGTATGTATATAAGAGCAGAAATGACAATGGGCAGCAGTTTGGATGGGAAGCTTTGTTACTGCACTCTGTGACTTTGGCTGTGTTTCTGTTTTAATCTGCTCTCTCTGGGCTGTTTGCCCAAATTGATTTAAAATTCCAAGTTCTGATGAAATTTCTAATTCTTTTCTGCTCGGTTTCGGCTGTCTCAGTAGTGCAATCTTATTACACACTCATATTCCGTTTTTCTGTTTTTATGCAACTGACAGCAACACTGTTATTGTTCTGGGTGACTTTTACTCCAAAGCCGAGGGATACGGAGGGTTTTTGTTCTCAACACAGGATGCCAACAGGGGCAACCATGCAAAATGAACAACAGCGGACCACGACAAAGAAAATGTTATCATGCTTATCAATCATTTCACTTCTGTGACAGCGGAAAATACCTTTAGATTTATTAGTTATTATTACTGTTATTATTTGGAGGTGTCTGCAGTGTTACCTTTGTGACATGATCTTGTAGGCGTCTGGAAGATAGCAGTTTATGTTCTCCATCTGGAAAGGGTCGGCATCGCAGATCTTGTCGTCCGTTCGGCCATAGTTGGCACTTTCGATCATAATGACATCACTTCCTGGACACCGCAAATCAATGGGGTAACCCTCACAAGACAGCTCTCTCCGCACTAAACCAAATGGCAGGGCAGCTCGACTAAACCCTGAGGGAGAAGAGAAGGAGAAGGAGCTCTATCAGTGCGGATCGAAGCATGGAACTACAGCGACTTAGAGGAAGAGGGAGGCAGGAGACAAAAGAGATCAGAGGTGGATATACACAAAGGAAGCATCTTCAAACATCGCTTTCTCTTATTTTATTCAGAAGATGTAACTTTTCATCAATATAAATAAGAAATCTAAAGAGTAAAAGCCCAGACTAGACTGCAACTCTGACATACATCTGTATGCCGAGTGAACATTTCAGATCTAAACCGCACCAGGGAGCTAATAGTGTTAGTATGTCATCCACGTGCCTTAACTGCTACTAAAAAAAAGAGAAATCAATATTTGTCATTAAAGTCTAGTTTGTCAGCTTAAATGTCTGGAGCCTTGTTTCCCCCTGTGACCATCTACATAAGCATGCCGACACAAGAACGTGACATCAGCCTCTAAAGGTTGTTAACATAAACAATTAAATAAATACATTTTTAACCATCTGTTTTCTTCTCTGCTGTTGTCGCGTGTTTCACTTCAATACGGGGCCTGACTGACACTGCAGAGTCTATCACTGGAGACTTGCGGTTTACTTGCAATGCTCATTTTTCTATCCAAAATGAAAAAGAACAACAAGCATGACAACATGAGTGTAATTTAATCCACTTTCCAGTGCTGACAATCGAAGGCAAGGCTATTGGGAGGCTGAAAAAAAGGTTTATGAATGTGAGTGTGTTCAGTGTGTGTGTGTGTGTGTGTGTGTCGGGGAGGGGGAGGGGGGAGGAAAAATAGAAAAGAAATCAATATTGTGGCTCGGCGAATACGAACAATGCCAAAAGCCATATTTAAACTAAAAGTGAACTACCTGCATAAACTATAGCGCTCTACATACTGCGTGTCTTTTTGGCGAGAGCAGCTTCCTGCAGCTATGTCATGTCAGATATCAAAGAAAGCTGGCGCGGAGCTAAAAATGATTTTCAGATGCTTCTCTGCAGACTCTGAATCACGGCTGAATAAAAACTACAGTTTCAGTCACCTTTATAGTGCTTTAAACATCGCTGTTAATGCAACTTGGTTGATGGCTTTGTTTCCGAAGAACGCGTTTCCTTAATGAGCTTTATTCACAGTTGCAAAAGAAAATAAAGCACGCCGCCGCCGCCACTTCTAATGCACTAATTCGTTTGGCTCCTGGACAAGTCCGGGCGATCCATATGTGCAGTTGTTTGGAATTATGAAGCACTTTATTACTTCATGAGGCATTGTGTGACATGGCATTGTGGCAGCTGTTTACTTAAAGCCACCGAGTAAATTGGTCAAGAAAGGCTAAGTTCATTGTACCCTGCTGAATGATTCATCAATTAATTACCAAAACAATTATCTTAGTGTGATTTAAAGGCAAAGCTACAGTGGCAGGGGATTAGCATTCTGCTTTTTCTGCTTTGCCTCGTAATGCTCCTGTGGTATTTTACAAAGTAAGATAAATGTCAGCTTGTATTGCCAGATCCACCGTTTGTGAGCCAATCAGGTGAAAGGCCTGTTTCTGAAGGTGCTCGGTGAGGAGCTCGGGGTAAACAAAGGATATATCTGTATGGATGAGGGCAGCTGCCCTGGCCTATCACTAAAAGACTTTTATTTGTTTGGGAGCATAAAATCATCAGGGAAGGATCTTTTTTCCTCCACTTGCACTTTTTGACAGCAAACTTTCTCATGTGACCAATAGACATGAAAAAGTAAAGGCTTTCAAATATGATAGGTTGCGGCTGTATTTCATTTTTGCAGCCCCTTTCTCTCTCGAGTCAAAAAGAACGCTTAAGGTGATAAACAATATATCAGAGATGTTGGCTTGAGAGAAAAAACCCCTGAAACACAGCATGTTAAGAACAGGACTTGACAGCCAATCTTGAGTTTGTGTCAATGTACTCCAGCTTTGTCAAAAGACTGAAATATGATGTGTAGTAACTACAAGAGCCTATGTAAAACATCACTCAAACCCGTATCGCAATTTTACGCTTAAATCATGTCACAAAAGTGGTGGATGTGTAATGGAAACTCATCTATTGCTTTTCCGTCAGCTGTTGTCACATCAAATGAAGAATTGACAGCTTTCACTTTTTTCTGCATATGAGGAATAAAAATCATTTTAAAACGTGATTTCAATAACTGAAGCTAACACATTTTTGCTACCCTGCCTTAATATAAAGGTGACCGGGCAGCAGATCAGCGTGACTGGGTGGGAGACGGTAAACTTGGCCAAGTGTTCTGCTTTTTTGGCCATGTGTAAGACCTCCGAGTTTGATCTCCAAATCCACAGCCAAACCCACTGATGCTCTGCGTTTCTGGATCACTGTTAAAACACTTAAATCACTCTGCCTTTACAATCTTCTGGTTTTTTATGATTTAGAGCTGATGCAGTCTCTGCGCTTAAGTAGGAAAACAGCGGCCGGAGCAACGAGGAGATAAATGTAGGCTCAAGAGTACCGTACGACTTCTACAAAAACACGCTGTGAAATTATTTTCTTGTTCATATTACTGGTTCTCAGACAAAATTGCTGTCCTCTAAACTCTTTTCATTCACCAGCTGGGCTTGTGCATCATGAACCAAAAGCAGCATCGTAAACAACCTCAAAAAGCCTCTCAATTGATTAGGCCTGAGGCTGATTTTTTTCCCTCGCTCTGGTGTCAGATGGTATTTTTAGTTCATGGGGAGATGGGTGACAAAGGAATCAATATGGGGGGGACAAACAATAGTTCTGTAAACAAATGTCAATGGAATAGATGGGTGTCCTTATTTCTCAATTAAGTTAGTAATGTTGTACTGTTTGTACAAGTATTTCATTTCATTTATTCAGTTTTGGATGAGATCCTCAGAAAATCTGTCCTCCTCACATACGCATTTGTCACTGTTTCACTTAAATAAGTATTGACCAAGATCAGCCCCACAAAAAATCATTTCTCTGCTATGCTGGGAGACTAAAATGTGCACTTTAAATAATGTTTTCTTAGGTTCTTTTCTACTGTATAATAGAGGCTTTGTGCCACTCCTGAAAATAAATCCTCTTTGTCTGTTTTCATATAGATAGTATGAAGGAACCAAAACACCATCGATCACACGTCGCAATTACACGAGAATAATATGATCACACTGAATCTAACATAAACAAATCCAATGCTTACTGTCTCACTTAACTAAATGATTTCATTATTCAAATGAGCCAGAAAAGTAATCATTATTTTGCTCATGGGGCCATTAGCATAACTATTCAGCGAATGCATGATATGAAAATTATTTACTTTCCATACGGTGACAGTAAAACATGTCAAGAATATCAATACGCGGCGGATGCTAAAATATTGACGACGTAAACCATCTATTTTGGTTTTCCTGCGCACTCTTGCTGATGTTCTAAAAACCCATCCAAACAGAGCTCAGCAGTTAATTGGGGGAGCTGAGGGCACTTGTTGCTATATTATGTTTCAGGAGCCTCTTTACCTCGGAGCTTTCTACAAAGAGGCTGCTGAGCAGACAAAATGGCGCCACCCAAGTGTACGCTGATGGTTCACGGACAGAAAAACATAATCACAAGTCTGCGCCTGGAAAGAGTTTTTAGACGAGCTATGCGGCCACGTGCTCATAAAAGAAGCCCGGCTGCCCCATCGTCACTGATAGCACGCACTTCAGAGATCTTAAAATACGAGATGCTATTTTACTCGCTTTGATGTGCTTTCACTTTAAGATAGTGCACGATGTATACAAGCTCTTAAAATATAGATTTATATCAATCAAACACGAAGAAGGAGAATTTTTGAAGCATTCTCGCCATTAATTAAACAGCAGGGGGTGAAAGTTTAAGACATAGACAAAAAAAAAGATATAATATGGAAAGCTCAGTCCTGTCACCATGGCAACATGATGGGAGCAGAGACATTATTGGCCAGGCCCTTATCGTGGCCCTGTTGACACTTTCTAATCAGAAATTCTGGTCAGCCGTCAGCCCCACCACCACGACCACAAGAAGACCAGTCCGGCTCATCGCCATCGGCTGTCACGGAGCAGAGCGAGGATTACTGACATCATCCTCCCGTAAAGCATTCAGTCAGGGCTCTGTCTTTAATGTGATGCAATTCGACAGTAAACCTTAAAAATGTCGTGCATTTCCCAGTCAACAAGTGAACATTATAAAACATCTGTTTGCTTTAAAAGAAATCTGAGCACTTAACCTTTTGACATGTGCTTGTAAACGCTGTAAATGGTGTTGGAACATGCTAGTAATTGACTCTGATTGGTGCATAGCACCTCTATTTCCATGGGTTATAGCACTTTATTAAGCCAGTGACAAGCCTCTATTTAAGGCTTTCCACTCTGGCTTTTATTACCCAGACTAACCTTTGCGATGACTTTAAGCACGTACAAAAGCTGAGGCTGAAGAACTATGAGAAACCTCCCATATGTAAGGGCGGCCGATTAAGCGCCGTCTCGTTGCCGTAATGTTTTAATTCATTTTTCTCACAGATGAGCCAAATCAATCGGAAAGTGACCATCTGTTAGGATATGAGTGTCATTGAAGCAGAGGTAATGACGAAAATGTCTTCCTATTTCACAGAAATGAGGAGACATTAGGGTCTTTTTCAGCCATGTAGAGACTGTGTAGTCTCATCAAGCCGGACAACAGACATAAAGAACATGCAGTCAAAACGGCTGCATTTAATCAGAACACCAAACTTACTATCTTTCTATGAAATAGTTTTTTTTCAGTATTTCTTTGCTCCAACCGTAATGCATAATTGAGAGTAGTCTGCTTTTCATCACAGCTATATCGCATCCAGCAAATGGTTTTTAAATCAAAATGACTCTCTGCAACTCCAGTTATACTTTTTCCAGAGTTAGTCCAGGGGCTAGGCAGAGGCTGATCAAAAGGTCTATTCAGTCATCATTGTGCTCCGAGCACAAAAGAGGACTCGAGATTATTTTGATGTCACACCAGATAATTTTTCTGTCGAGAGCCAATGAGAA